TTGCTGACAAATTTTCAGAGATGTTTGAGAGGGAATTGGAGAAGTACACCTCTGAGCCTTTTACATTTATTTTTTTATATATTTATTTACATCATACAGCTGTAAGACATCTTGCAAAGCTCAAGAGAACCTAAGGAGAACATTACATATACACCTACATGAAACGCTAACATCTTTATCTCCAGTTAGCACTTGGCATTCGCAGTGTGAACATTCTTGTGTTAGCACTGGCTGTTATCTCCAGTGTGGGCTTTACACTGCAGGGGAGATGACAAGTGCAGGACATGCACTGCTGAAAGAGATCAAGACAAAGAGAGAAGCGTAGAGCATAGAAAGTAGGTAGCAGAAGCTCTCAGCAGGGGGTGGTCAGTGGTTCAAGAAACTAGAACAATGAAGTGGCATAAGAGTGAACGTTCTCTGTTCTTCTGCTGATGAAATGTGAGGGAAACAAACGCAGGGACTGAAAAAAAAAACATGATGATTAATTTCTGTGCATGTGTCAAGTGGGGTCAGAAAATAACCCAGTCTCAACCCATCCCCCAAATGATGTACCATCTACACTAAACTGTAATCTTTAACTTTCATCTTTTTTTCACGTTTTTTTTTTTCAAATATGTGCAAAGAACTGTGTAAAATAAGTCTTTATTAATCAATAATCTGCCCATTTAATCATAATTTGTGTTAAAATTGTTTACTCACTGCAACTAACTATTGGTCATTTCAGCTGGGAACTTTTGCTAGTATAAGTGTGCTTTTTTGAGTTTTGCAAAAACAAATGTAGATAGAGGCTCATTAGAGGCTCATCATTCCAAATGAATCTGTGTTGGAAAATAACCAGGATTAGGAGAGATAATCGCACAGGAATAGACATTTAAAGATCTGGGGACAAAAAGGCTCCAGTGAATTCTTCTATTTAGTTATGCAACATTTGATATTGTTCAAATTATTCTATTTTAGTTTTGTCTATTATGGGTTTAGTTTTGGCGTGTTGCTGTCAGACATCTGTATTCACCATCATAGAGGGTATATGAAATGTGTGGCTAATATGAAATGGTTTTGATCTGCTCTAAAAACAGTGAAAATGAAGATACATTCCCAGCAAAAGTAAGTACTTCATAATCATCTAAGTTTACAGCTGTTCCTCGTGTTTTTATTGATACTTTTGTATTTGATGATTATAGCTGCCATAATCATTCAGATTGCTTCATTTTACATTTTATATCTTTATTTTACTGCTATCAAAACTCATCTAACTTAAAAGTGTGTGTATACACTAGGGATGCAACGGTACACGGTAAAATCCCGGACCGTTCGGTCAGCCCTGCACGGGACAATCTACCCTCGTGTCCCGCGGGACTTCGGTTTTGCAATAGAGTTCGTGCTGATCCTTTTCCCGTATTTTCCGCACTATAAGGTGCACTTAAAAGCCTTTAATCTTCTCAAAAAACGACAGTGTGCCTTATAATCCGGATCGCCTTATGGAATTAGTTAACAACGCTCCGCGTTATTAAATTCGCCCGCGAACTCGCGCTCGTGTCCAGCATATGCCCGCTTTGTCACACGGCGCTGCTCGCGCGTCACAGATGTTCAAAAAACCGCTCCCCGTTCACAGTACCGGGTCGTCTCATTCAAAACAGCGAGCCGTTGCTGCAGCGAGCCGCCGCACATTGAATATATGAGTCAGGCTGCGAATGTACGTTGTGCCCGCCCCAGCGCGCTCACGCTTACTAAATAAACGCCTCACCTCCGGCTCCGCGCACTCGCTACATTCCCAGCACATCTAGTGGATGCATAACGCAAACCCAGTCAAACGTTTGACTGCAGTATCTTTTTGCACAAGAATCTCTCAATAGTGGATGAGTAAATAACATTGCACTTTGTATCCTGAATGAAGTTTTTTTTAATTATATTATTTTGCTCGGCTCTTTTTATTCAAACCACAAGCTAATTTATGTTTGTTAAAGGTAAAAGTGCACTTTTTCTTTCACATTGATCACTTTACCAGTTATCAAGGTTTGGAATTGGGACCCACTTGAATATTCTAAAGTGTGTTTGTTTACATTTTGTATTTTATAAGTGGTAGTTGAAGAGGTTGTATTACTTCTGTTCAGTACAGACTAGAGTGTTAATTTATTTCATACACATTGATGTTCTTCCTACTGTGACATTATGTTAATGCATATAAGAAAAATAAAACATAGTTTTGGGATGAAATAGCAGTCTCTTTCTGCACAAAACATGTACCGAAACCGAACCGAGACCGTGGCCCAAAAACCGAGGTACGGACCGTACCGTGGGCTATCTGTACCGTTGCACCCCTAGTATACACACACATTCACAGCACTACGATTTATTAGTTTGTTTACTATGTGAATTAAAGTGTAAATAAGAAAATATATTTCATACTATATGACTTTCTTCTGTGGGAAACAAAAGAGGATATTTTGGAAAATGTGTTTATACAAAGTCAGCGCAGTGTGGTCCAATGCAGTTCAAACATTCTTCAAAATATGTTGCATGTTAGAAAGAAAGTCATTAGTTTGGAACGACATGAGGGTGACTAAATAGATGACAGCATATTCATTTTGGTAGTGAACTATCCCTTTTAATGGGCCATCAAAAACTGAATCCTTTTTGTTGAGCACAGTAAAGCAAATTTTCTAGAGGAATAGAAACCAATCCCTTCTCTCACTCACTCTTCTGAGGTTATCTGGGCGTTTGATGGGGTGAAACTTCCCCATGTACAAATTCATGTTCTACCTTTTAATGTTGCCATCAGAGTGATCTACAGATTTGTTTTCATTTCAAGTGGTGGCGTGTCCTTAGAAATCACTGCAAATACATCTCTTTGTCATTCTGGCTGTGAACAGCTCTTATTGGCTGCCAAAGCCAGGTGGCGTTACTTGTTACCATGCCAACAAGTTGTTCCGGACTAAATCATTGGCTAGTGTGGCTGGCAGACTGACAGAATACATCTGCTAACTATGTGAAGTGAAAAAGAACACATACAACTGATATTAGCAAGTATTGTAGAATTATTATTAGAAGATACACTTTAGGTAATCAAAGTTAAGTGCATTTAGCCTTGAAGAAAAGAGGGTTTCATTAGACTTGAAATCCATTTAGTAATATCATGAATGGCCAAATTCAATTGTGTATTTTTATTTTATTTTATTTTATTTTATTTTATTTTATTTATTTATTTATTTATTGAAGATGAAGAGACTTTCACATTAGATCAATTTCTAAATACTATTCGAATGAGTGGTCATCCACTTATCTCGCAGCGTTTCATCCCATGAAAATTTTGAATTATACTAGTGAAAGAAACTGGTGGGTTGGCGGAATCTTTGAAACACTTCAGACAGAAGAAAAAATATCTCACACACATCTATCTACCAACATAAATCCATACCCTCTGTATACTCTTTCAATTATCCACTATCAGTTTTATTATCAACTGAAAATTAAGATTTTTAAATAGTTTACTTACCCTTATGATGTTTCATACCTGTTATCTGAAAAACACAAAGGAGATATAGCTGCTTTTTTATTTCCTCACAAGTGTGAAATAAAATTAGTTTGTACTGTTCCCAAACGTTCGTAGATGACTTGGAATAAAGGGCACATGTCACATAGACTGCTTTTATAGTACTTTATTCTTATTTGTGTCCTACTTGACTAAACTACATCTGCCTATTTCCCCCTGGGTAATGTACCTAAAAATATCTGAAATACCTGCTTGACAGGCTGAGACCGTGATTGTGAAAGTTAAGGTTAAAAATAAGGTTGGGGTGTGAATTTTGTGTTTTGCATCACTCAAACATGTAATATTTTTACCTGCGTTGTTCATGCACCTGATAATATTCTGATATTATATGAAGTTTTCAGAGGCCTGAAGGAATCGCCTGAAATGAGGTGAGAATGTCACCAGAGCGACATTTCGGAGGTGCGAGGATAAAAATCACAACGGTGACATTTCACTTATGAGACTACCCAATGACAAGTTAATTTTTGGACATCCTGTAGGCCAACCTATTAGAGATGAACCAGTTTATGTGTTTGATTTGCCTGAGTGCAGAAACATTGTAAGAATAAACTCTCTGTGTGTGTGCGTGTGTGTGTGTGTGTGTGTGTGTGTGTGTGTATACATCAATCAAACTGATTTTAATTAGTCAAATTGGGCCAAAATTTGCTGCAGGCATGTAAAGTAGAGCTGGATGTCATTTATTTTAGGCTACATCTCGCACACATGTACACTGAGAAATAGCATATTCTCTTATCTTTTCTCGGCCACACATGGTCACAATAAGCACTGAGCCAACTTTAATCTTCTCAAATGAAACAGACCACATGGATCCGATTATGTAACCAAGTTTACGGCCATTCACTCTATAAAACGTTGTTTTTGTTTTTCTATGTAAAATATGTTATAAAGAAAGGGCATGTAAAGGGATAGTTCACCCAAAAAGGAAAATTCTCCCATAATTTACTCAGCCTCATGTTACTCTAAACCTGTTCATTTTGATAGTTTGAAACATTTATTAACTGTCTTTGTCTATTGAAAGTCAGTGGGGTCTAAAACAACATTGTATTGTATGGACAATGTTTCTTTTTTTCTTTTTTTTCATAAAAAGTCATACAGCGCCATGAGGGTGAGTAAATGATGGCATTAATGATTTCATTTTTGGGTGAACTATACCTTTAAAACTACAAGCAAAAATAAATGTCTGGATGTTTAAGCATTTTCTAAAAAGACAGAATTAGACATTAATGATGCCGATTCCTCTCCATTATTCACAAGTCCTGGGTTGTTTTAGCCAAATATAACGGCCTATTGCGTGTGTTACCAGAACCTGATGTAAGCCTGTCTGTTGCTGTGGGTAAATACAGAAGTTAGAGATGGACACAGTGTCTGTGCAATCATACAGCCATCCATGCACACACACACACACACACACAGGCCAACTCATCTGCTCCCCCTCATTTCACCTAAGCTATTCTTAATAGGCTTTATTGGCAATGAGATAAATTCTGGCAAAGTACTTACATGACAAAAATACAGCTAAAACGCACATTACAGGCACAATGCCCTCTCTCTTTTTTTCCCATCTCTATCCATTGTCCTCGCTCACTTTAGCTCTCCCTCTCTTGGTGTCCCGCATCAGCACTCTTGCAGACAGCGCTGTCTGCCCTATCTCTTTCCCTCAATCCGTCTTTTTCCCTGTCTTTATCTCAGCCTCACACACTGCCCTTCCTCAGCAACTATCTCAAACTGCAGATACACAGGACATGACAATGGGAAAGAGGAAGAGTAATTTAGCGATCAAGTCTCCTGCCCTCTTTTTTAGGCAACAAAAGGTGGCAAAAAAAAACTTAAAAAAGTAACTTTTTTGTCTTATCTTTACTTAAAGTGCTTAACTGTGCTGCACTGTATTGTTTCTTTTCCCTCTTTTTTAAAATAAATATTCTGGGTTCAATACAAGTTTATTCAACAGCATTTGTGGTGTTATTATGATTACCACGAAAGATAAGTTTGAGGTTAATGGCGTTGCGTTTTAATGACAAACATGGATACATACTACTGTTCAAATGTTTGGGGTCTGCGAGATTTTGTAATGTCCTTGAAATAAATCTCTTTCGCAAACTAAGACTGCATTTGTTTGAAAATAAATAATTTGAAAGTTGTCTAACATTATAATTTATGACTACAATTTCTAACATAAATGTCTTTACTGTCATTTTTGATCGGTTTGATCCATCCTTAATGAATAAAAGTTTTAATTTCTTTAAAAAAAAAATCTTAATGATGCCAAGCTTTTGAATGGTAGTGTTTTTACACTCGGAGATAATGTCACACACATATTATTTACATTCTGTAGCTATGCTATTCCAAAAAAAATGAAACATTATTGGGATTGGCACCATTCACTTCCAATGATGAAAACCTCAGATTTTTCCTTTTTTTTATATTAGAAAATTAGTCAAAATTAATTTGTATGGTAATCAACATTACTGTATATCATGAATGCACGTCAAATGAGCTGAACTTTTACCGCACCCAGAATATTCCTAAAGAAATAAAAGTTTTTAGCTGACTAAGATGGTATTTAATATCACTAGTTTCCTTATTTTAATTTTCAGTTCTGTACTTAGTTAAAAGAAAAAAAGAACACTTGATGACATTGACATTGAGTTTACTCCAACAAAAGCTGAACCTTTTTTATCATTTATGAAAGACAAAAAGAAACATTTCTCATTAGTGTCCTTTATCCATTTCTCCAACTAAAATGTATTTTTAAAACAGAATTTATTAATTGATTCTGTAGTCTTGGAATGGCATTTCTTTTAATAATTGTTCCTTCTGTAATAGTCCAGTGTCCTTACAGCAACACAATAGTCTCTTGGCTTCACAGAACACATTTTTGTACTGGATGATGTTGGTCACATGGTACAGTAGATCCAATGGTGTCATAAAATTAATTTTGATTACTTTTTTGTGCATGAATCCATTCGCTCACTAACACACTTACACACACATACAGCCTCACACACGACATGTCAATTGTCAGTCAATTCCCATTTATTTTCCAAAAGTGTTCCAAATCATGCCGTCCATTTGTACACTTTCCTTGCAGTTTGCATCCTCTACATCCCACATTTGCTGTAATTCTATTGTTGCAATTATCAATTGATCTCTTCCTATCGATTGGGCATGAGTCGGCACGTCTGCTCGCTGGCCCTCTCCCTATATTCACATGGATGCAGGAAAACAAACCATCATATTTCCCCCAGCTCCACGTGAGTTAGTAGATAACGCTTCTTGAGGCCTGCTTGTCTTTAGTCATATATGTTTTGTTCATTATAGTTTGTGGTTCTCCAAGATTCACTGACAAAGTAGTCGTGTTATATTTTTAGGAGTCTTGACATTTATATATCTGCCTTCTAAAATCTTTTTGCCTTGTCTTTTTTATCTCTCATACAATAACTTTACCATGTTTTCAGCTCTCCTTCAGACTGGTTTGCTCTTTGAATACTTTCACATCCATCTTGAGGTGTGTGTTAGCAGCCTGTGTCTTCATTTGTCTACGTGTGTGTCTCATCTGTCTTCTTTCCCTACACCACACTCTCCTCAAGTTCTTCTCCCTTTTCTTTATCCTTCAGCCGCTGGTTCTTTGAATTTGTTGTAACCTCTGCTTTAGGAGGGTTGGAATTGGAATTGGTGGCGCTGTAGGCACGGATGTATCCGCGTGTGTGCTGTGCGTGGAAATCTTCACTGCCACTGCTGGTTGTTGAGGTGCTTGTTGCTGAGGTGCACTGGACAAGCATGCCATGTAACGACTGGCTCCGTTTCGTCCAGATTACACTAAACCTCTTGGCATAACTATAGCAGGCTGACGTGGCGATTTCACCCATGTCGAATGAAGAGCTTCTCTTGTAGCGCAGGGCTCCATGAGGAGGCCTCTCGCGAGACAACGAAGGGCTCTGATAGGCCAGTGAGGAATTCCATTGGCTCTCTGGACCTCCCCGACAGACTACAATGCCTCCTCCCGTGCTGAACCGCCTGTCATAACTGTACTTATTGGGCGGGGCCAAGCTTAAACTGGCCCGTTTACTTGTGTTCATGTTGGTAGGTCGGAATTTGAGTGGTTTCGCTCCTAATTGGCGTGACGGGCGCGGCAGTGTGGAGGCAGAATGATTGCTGGATGTATAATACAAAGACATTTGCTGTTTCTCCATTGTGTACGGTGGGAGAGGTGTGACGGAACCCATTTCGACTTCTAGTCCTGCCCTAAACTGCTCCAGATTCACTTTGGGCTTTGGGAGGGTTTTTGGTTTTACTTTGGAAGTCGGTTTGGGCTGTGACCCCAACCCCCCCTCTGCAACTTTTCGTTTTTGAACGAGCCCATTGGGCAACACCACCATCATCACATTCCCATTTCCGTTACTCTGAGAAAAGACATCAGCTCCCTTGGCAGGAAGAGATGGGGAGTCTGTTCCTGAGCATCCCACCTCTTCTCCTATTTCGTGATGAATATCATGGTTACTGCACACACGGTGACGTACCATCAGTGCCACGGTAAACACCAACAGTGTTACCACAACAACTCCACCAACCAGAATGGTAAGAGTCCCGCCAAGGAAGTGGGCTTGAAGAGAACGACAGTCTGGGTAATTGTCCTTGGTGCTAAACTGTGTGCAACCAAGGACCTTTGTGGCGGCCATGGAAGTGACCGTGTCATCAAAAATGGATAGAACGCACAAGTTGTAGTCTGAGCCAGAGACCAAGTTTTTCAGTAGGAAGCTGTCACTCGTGGGGGGGAGAATCCTAAAAGAGGAGGGTGGGAAAGAAAGAGAGAGCGGGTGGTTAGTAACCTGAAGCAATTATTTTCTCCCCGTTCCATCACAACGAAACAGTACTTTACTTAGACATGTATTCCTTGTTCGTAGCACATAAACATTAAACTAACCAAGGTAATGGAAATGTACCGGGCTGTTCTGACACACCACTAGCCAAATTACGGCCTTCCCAAACAATCCCTCTAATATTGACATATAATTACAGGCTCTAGTCAAGGCCTTGACACATTACAATACTGCTTCAGTCACATTATTAAAAAACCCCTTATCCTCCCACACACAGACGATTTTGCTTTATCTTTCTTTCATGGAAGAAATGCATCAGCTAATGCCTGCTGTCCACTGGTTCTGATTGGTTTAATTAGGTCTCAGCTAAAAATTAAAAGACATCTTAAATTGTGCACATGGAATATTGGCTAGACAAACACGTGATATGACAGTGGGCATTTTTATAATTGTTTAATTATGGCCAGAGTGTTTTGAAAGTAATTTTTTTTTTAATCTAATAATGTATTCAAAAATACATTCTGTAATGAGCTTGTTTTTAATGTCAGAGTTAAAATGAGCTTTGATTTGTTTTTGTTTTATTATATAATTTATTAATTGATTTTAAATTGTTTTTTTCAACAATTTGATGTTTTTTTATGACAAGGCAAGGTTAGTTAAGGTTGTAAATTGTTGTGGTGAAACATGACAAAAATCTTTACCTTTAAGTGTGTGTGTGTGTGTGTGTGTGATTTCGCTGGAAGCTGAATTATAAAATATATTAACAAAAACTACAAAACAAAAAGTTTTACCAAACAGTATCCCTTTTATTTATTTATTTATTTTTGTTAATTAGATCAACCCAATCACACTAAATGCGTCTTTTATAGCACGCATGTGTATTGTCGTGTAATTTATACGCTAAAGTGAGTTTTATGTGCGTATGATACGCATTGGTTGGTTAGGGTAGGTTTAGGTGTGGTGTGCGTGTGTATTATACGTTTGGGTAGAATAAGGGGAAGTGGGATGCGTGTGTATTACCAGCCTGGTCTCATTGTTAATACGTAGGTATTTTACGTTTTTGCAAAGATAGAAAACGTACTTTTTAGTACGTTTGGATAGATGCTGAAACATATAATATAGACGTATCTGCAACATTTAAACGTAACATTATTACGTTTTTACAGCTACAAAACGTAAACTATTTACGTATATTCTATATCATAAAGATATCTGTATAATTTCCCTTTTTACCATTTTATAGATAAATGTAAGATCCCGTAACCCTAATCCCAAACCTAAAAATACCCATTTTATACTGAATATAAAAAAGGATAAAACGTAACGGACAGGTGTTGGGAAAGGGCAGTTTTATTAACAATATAGCATTACAATATATTTTGAGCCACCAATCACACTCCTACCCCTAAACCAACCCATAACAATTCCTTAAAACTACGTAACAAACTACAATTATGAAGAAAAACATAACTAACAGACAAGTATAATCACAATAATTTATTTAGTGCGAAAATGTCAAAACCGATACCAAAAGCCGTTCACATGATGAAGCGTTGCAGTCGCAGTCTTCTCTCTGGCAGTATTGTAATAGTTTTGTATAAAGTACAGAGCAGAAATTAAATTACTAATGAAAATGTTAATCCGGCTTCGGTTTGCACGTCGCCATTTCAAATGAACTAACCAACCGTCACAGTCCTTCATGTCGCAAACTGTGACGAAGCAGGGAAGAGCCAATGAACGTTTGATGTCACTGCCGTAAAAGATGACGTATAGACCTTTCTCACAACTTCCGTATTTGTGACCGGAAATACGCAATTGTCGTGGTAATCTTCTTCCGCTCCATTCATAACAGATAGCGCCGAAGGCAACTAGTGAGAGTTGTTGCGTACCGATCTTTTTTGTTATTCCCAAAAGCAGCCATACCTGTCGTTTTCATTCCTTCCCTCGTCAGTTCCCTGTCGATGAAGTTCGACGGAAATGGATTCAGGCAATCTGGCGAGATGTTATTGATCCTGTGATCTTCTGTACTTCTCATGTCACCATTCACTAATAAGCCGTCATTGTTTGTTTATTTTTTATGTTTTATGATTTGCGTATTTTTGAAGTAACGTTAGTTCATGTTCAACTGTATTAAGATATTTGTATCCAGCGGAATAAGCACATAAAAATATACACCACAATATAAAACAAGATAAATAAGAACACACAACAGTGGGCTACATATAAATGTAAAATATTAACATATACCATTCTGAGTATTTAACAATCTGAGTGTACAAGGAATAAATTAATATTTGTATAATTTTTCTTCATCTTTGATCGTTCTATAGCAACAGCAGTGCAAAAAATTCAGGATAACTGTTGAATAAAACTGACAGACTTCTTTCTGGTATTCACATCAAAATGTAGTTTATTGTAAATAATACTCCCTAAATATTAATAACTTTCGACACACTCCACCTTCTTACCTTTAATGAACGTATATTGGGAAGAATGAGCTTCAGTTCTAAAATCAATATCATATCTTTGGTCTTAGATACATCAGCTGCAGACAAGCATCACCACAGCATTTTACAAAGTCATCAACAACTGGACCATGACAAGTTTACATTTTTTCGAAGTTTTGAAGACTCTCTGATCAATTTTCTCCTCCCAGAGTAGGTTTTTCTGATGTGTTAACAGTTGACGGGAACTCCGTTTCCACAACGATTACGTATTTCCGGTTTTTGTGAAAAAGGTCTATTGCTTATCAAGGGCGCAATTTTTGAATTTGAATTCATCACCAGCGCAGGGTTTGACATGTACGGTCGCTGCTGAGAATGGAGAGATCACGACTGGATAAGAGGCTGAATTAGGAGTTGTTTCTTGCAAACAACTATGGATTCTAAAGATTTGGATTACATCAAACTAATAAAATTGATGTCTTTTGTGAATTTTTGTTGTGTTTTATAGGAGAAAACGCTTTATGTGTCTCAAGGTATATAAATTCCCAGACAGCAAACTGACATTGAATCAACGTGGAAACGAAGTCTCTCATGACATTGAAACAACGTTGATTTTGCTCATCGAATTAACGTTGAACCAACGTCAGACGCGGCATTCTTCAAAGCTAAATGAAAATCGAAAATTGGTTTGCTTTCACAACGTTGAAACGACGCGTTGATTTCAAGTTGATTTTCCGTTAGTTTTGAAAGAATGACGCATCTGAAGTTGGTTCAACGTTAATTCGATGAGCAAAACAATGTCAGATCAACGTTGTTTCGATGTCATATTTCCACGTTGATTCAATGTCAGTTTGCTATCTGGGCTATTACAAAATGGTTGAACGAGTAACGTTAAATAATGTATTTTTAAGGTTTTATAGTGTATTGTTTAACACCATGCAGGCGAAACGAGCAAAATGTTAACATTTATGAGTATTATATCAATAAATACGACTGAAAACTTCATTAATAAGACAGTGGAATGCAATAGAGTCAAAACATAATGCTACGATATTTATATGCATAAATTGTGATACGTATAATGTGTATGTGTACGTCGGTGGATTTGTTCATACGTAAATAAATTACGTTTTTGTGCTGTCAATACGTAAATATTTTACGTTTTAGTGCTGTAAATATGTCAGTATTATACGTTTCTGCGCATATAAAACGTAATTATATATGCGTATGATAGAACGACACTTTACATACAAATACATACGTATTCTCATGAGATCACGTTGGTATTACACGCAAATGAACTGTGTATCAAATGCACACGAAAAACTCATTTTCGCTTATAAATTACACGACAATACACGATGCGTGTTATAGAGAGTAGATAGTCCTGCCTCAAACTGACTCCCTTGGCTGATTGCAATCTTTTGAAAACATCGCAGCTTTCAGTTTTTTAACCAATATGTTTTAGTTGTTCTCTCTCTCTCTCTGCACACTAAGGTGGGATTTGTGATAGACGTATTTAATGTTGAAAAATACTCATACATATTTTAAGACCATTGTTTTCCAATAAATGTGCAGGCACAATTTGTGTATTAGTCAATATGTTAAAAAAAGACTGACTCTCTCTCTCTCTCTCTCTCTCTCTCTCTCTCTCTCTCTCTCTCTCTCTCTCTCTCTCTCTCTCTCTCTCTCTCTCTCTCCCCATCTCTATTGAGCACACACACACACACACACATTGTCTGCCTGAACTGCTCTGTCATTGAGGTCGGAATCTATTAAGCCCGGCTGTGCTGTAAATTATGAGTTACAGCTCAAGGTCATTCTGTCTGCCCTCTATAGCTTTGTATTTCCAGACTCTGTGTAGCTCTTTGTGCCCTTGTTGTGTTGTTTCCAGGCACATAGAGCGATATACTATTAAAATAAACATGAAACAACATCTCAGTAGCTGTATCCAAGGCAGTACACTGGAACTGACATATTTTAGAAGTTATTGACCTTGCGCCTGTAGGTAAACATCTTTTAACCGGGAAACAAATCTAAAACAGGCATTATCACAGAAAACACATAGGTGAACTAGATACAGTATGTCTGTAGGTGGATTCCTTTTTTTATCCACATGAGTAGGTGCAGAAGTTTGAATGACAAAGTGATAATGATAGCATATGTTGCATTAATTTGACATGCATGCCAGTTGAATGTGCACCGTTTGTGAAGCCGGATCCAAAAATGCAAAAACAAAAAGCAAAATAAAGTGCTAGAATGTGTAGTTAGGTGTCCAGTGGAAAAGGGATACAGAAAAGCAAGTAAACCTGGCAGGAAAATGACAGGTGTCTGTCTGGGTTATAAATCAGTGCTAACTCCATTGAAAGCCACATCCACACAATGACAGAGCAGATTCGTATTGGCATCTGTCCTGTAAAGTGACACTCAGCAGTATCAATTCTCTCCGGTTCTTTTTTTTTTTTTTTTTTTTTTTTACATAAATGTTGTAAAGCCTAATACTTGCCTTAAACTGAAT